TACTATTATAAAATGAAAATGTCAGAAGGTAATAATAGAGTGGGATATTTGTAATGTAAAGAGATGTGAGAGGGCTATAATTTATGTGTGTGTTTTTTTCCCAATTGATTTTAGAGAGAGGGGAAGGAAAAGGGAAGGGTAGGAGAGAGAGAAACATTGATTTTTGCCTCTCGCACCCCTCCTGATCAACCAGGGATTGAACCGTAATATGGCTATGTGCCCTGACTGGGAACCAAACCTGTGACCACTCAGTTCACAGGACAATGCTCCAGTCAACTGAGCCACGCAAGGCCAGGGCTGTTTCTTGCTTTTGTGTCTTATGTGAAGCCATGATTTCTCCAAAAGAAGAAATAATTTTTGTTGTTGTTATTGTTGTTTTTGGTAGAACAGCTAGCTCACACTGGCCATTGATATACAACTGCTTCCAACTAACAGTTGTTTTCTGTTTGGGGTACTTAATATAAATTTTAAAAGTAATATCTTCTGCAATCCTGATTGTAAATCCTTTGGGCATATTTGGGCATATACTTTATCCTTGTTTAAACAAGCTAATGTCCCCTGGCCCTGTGGCTTGGCTGGAGTGTCGTCCCACCTACCAAAAGGTTTCGGGTTCTATTCCTAGTCAGGGCACATAACTAGGTTGTGAGTTTAATCCCCTGTCGGGCTGTGTACCAGAAGCAACCAATTGATGTCTCTCTCTCTCTTTCTCTCTCTCTCTCTGCCTATCTTCCTCTCCATCCCTCTCTAAAAACTCAATAAAAACATATCTTTTGGTGAGGATTAAAACAAACAATCAAAAAAGCTCATGTCAGTGTACAAAGCAATGCTTGTAGAAACATAGCTGTGTCTAGTGAGCTGGCAAGAATAGGCATTTCAGGGGTACAAAAGATGTGAAATGACTTACATTGGTAATAACTATGTTACAAAGTTTTCCTAAGGTTCAGAAAATAGTTCCATATATCTGGTTGTTTTGTGGCTTTCCTTCTGGTAATTATAGTGTTTGATACAAAAAATTGGGGTAACTTAAAAGTACAAAGAAGAAACCCCTAAGTCAAAAATCACCCTAATCTTGTCAAACAAAATCACTTTTAACTTTTTGATGTATGTCAGTGTTGAATTTTTGCCATCTGTGAGTTGTGTGTATGTTTAAAAAATTATTTTATAAAAGTTACATAATGTTTGAGAGTTTGCTTTTTTTTACTTTGAAAATACTGACAGTATTTTCTTAGGACAGTTGTCTTTGATAGGAGAAAAATAGAATGAAGATCTTGATGGGTAGAGTATTTGTAAGCTTTTCAAGTCATTAAGAGTGAGGCTAAGATTGTTTGAAAAAGCAATTCGAGAATTGAATTTTACCTGCAGTGTCCAGAATGACTTGGAGATGGGGTCCTTCATCTGATGAGAGCTGTTTCTGTGGTCACTCCTTTTGGAGAATTTGCAGAGTTTTCCTCAGTGGGATTGTGATTTCTCTCTCAGAGTAGTCATAGAAGGCATAAGGGGGGAAAAGGAGATAGAGACTTGCCTAAGATGAACATAAGGTAGAACCAGCCAGACACACATAGTTTCAATAAATACACTGAGTGGCCAGATTATTATGACCACCTGACATTTGTAGGCAAATTAGCTATAATTTCATGCTGAAGTTGCTAGAGGGCCAGATCATTATAAATGTCTGAATAGCACAACATACCTAAGTATCGTTGCTGATCAAGTTCATCCTATCATGTTGATGGCGTATTCCAGTGGAGATGGTTTCTTCCAACAAGACAGTGCGCCATGCCACGGTGCTCGTATTGTCCAGGAGTGGTTTCAAGAACATGAGGGAGACTTTACCTTGCTTAGGTGCCACCACAATCACCAGATCTCAATCCAATTGAGCATTTGTGGGACGAAGTTAAAAGAGCCATCAGGCAGCTGGTTCCACAACCATCAAATCTCACAGAACTGGACAGTGCTGTTCATCAGGCATGGTGTCAGATTCCTCGCATCACCTTTCAACATCTCGTAGAGTCAATGCCAAGAAGAATTGCTGCAGTATTGAAGGCAAAAGGTGGCCCAACGAAGTACTGATGGGGTGGTCATAATAATTTGGCCACTCATAATAATCTAGCCACTCAGTGTATATTGGTTCTAACAATGGTAAAGTTCTAACATGCTTGCATTTGGAAGGAACTTCTGGCTCTATCCAACTCTTTTTTTTTTTTTTTTTTTAAATATATTTTATTGATTTTTTACAGAGAGGAAGGGAGAGAGATAGAGAGTTAGAAACATCGATGAGAGAGAAACATCGATCAGCTGCCTCCTGCACATCTCCTACTGGGGATGTGCCCGCAACCCAAGTACATGCCCTTGACCGGAATCGAACCTGGGACCTTTCAGTCCACAGGCTGACGCTCTATCCACTGAGCCAAACCGGTTTCGGCTATCCAACTCTTAAACACCATTTTTTTCAGATAAAGAACTTAATTGACTTATTTAAAGTTGTGTAACTATTATGGGAGATAAGTAATATGGTAATTGGTTACTTTTAAATAATGTGAAATTTATTACTTTTATACATTTCTTTATTTTTTGCTTTGTATTTTTCATGTGTGCAATTTGCTTATCTCCCTCAGTTTTTCTACTCATTTCTTTATATTCCCATCTTTTACTTTTTCTCTCTCCTCATTAGCTATTATAGAATTAGTGTATATTTTAAAATCATTGTCTTTATTGAATAATTTTATTTTCTCTGTTTAAAAGGAGTATTTAAAAAATTTTTTATTGTTGACACTATTATAGATGTCCCCATTTTTCCCTACTTTGTCCCCTTCCACCCAGCTTCTCCCCCAAACCCCCTCTGGCCATCATCACGCTATTGTCTGTGTACTATTGTCTATGTCCATGGGTTATGCATATATGTTCTTTGGCTAACCCCTTCACCTTCTTTTATCCAATCCCCCTTCCTGGATGACAGAGTATTTAACTTTTATGTGCCTTTCTCAAAACTGAAAAAAAAATTAATTACTGTTTTATTTCCATATAATTTTAAATTTACAATTAATATTTTTACTATAATCTTATCTTTACTATTATTAAGAGTTCCACAACATTTTATCTGAAAAAAGGATATCCAGCTCTGGTAATAAGGGAAGAGAATTGGTTAAAATAGGCTCAATGGGGCAAGAATTATCAGAAAAGCCTATGGGGAGTAAATTATATTATAGAAACTTTCTCACTAAAATAAATTGTGAATCTACTTGTTCCTCTTACTTTGACAAAATATAAATGCTAATTTATGAGTACTAATTTTAAAGGAAAGAAAGAATATTTGAGCTTTCTTTTTTAAGGAATTTTGAAAAGTCCAAAAGGCAAAGAAAAAGAAAAAATTGAGTGTATATATATGGAAGTTTCCATTAAAGCCATCTGGAAAGACTTGAAAGTGTAATGGTGTGGTTACAATTCAGCTTCATGATTAGCCAGAAAAAGAAATTAGGGGAGATTTCTGTATATTACACAGTCCTTGCGAGTATACAAATCATGGAGAACAGACAGTTTTACTTGTAAGTTCTTTGGGAAAGTATTTGCTCTCAGTGAAAATCTCAGGGAAAATCTTTATTCAGATTGAAATCAGAGTCAAATGAAAGAATTTATCGTAAAGGTAACTTTATAAATTATAACCTATTTGGGCTCCTGAAAAGGAAAATCGTAGTTTAAAAAGTAAGGAACTGTTATTATATCACATAACAAGAAGTCCATAGGAAGTTTCATGGTTGTTCGATTCAGTGATCCAGTTTCTTTATCTCTGTCTGCTTTATTATTATCATCAGAACTGACTTCATTTTCATACCTCTACAGATTGGCTGTAGCAATTGTGTACATTGCATACAGATATGAAAATTTTTAGAAGAAAAAAATAGATTTTTCTTCTCTGTACGTCTGTTTAGATGTAGGGAACATTTCCTAGAAGTCCCCTCAAAAAATTCTCATGGTTCAGTGCTAGTATTGTGTTCCATACCTTTCTTAATCTTTGTTGAGAGGCATGGGATTAGGGATTGATAATTATTTGGGGTAGGATATATTTATGTGAGGAGTTCAATCTCCATGACCATTATAGTAACTAGTGTAACAATTTCTCTTAAGTAAATTAAGAATTTATTCATATGTGATCTAGGTTAGAAGATGTGCTTTTGGTTAAATTTCTTAATTTCTCCATTTCCCCATCTGTAAAATGGAGATTATAATGCCTTGTTCATAAGGTTGTTTTTAGAATTAAATCAGGTATGTAAGATAGCATGAATTCTAATTTTATTAAGTATTCAATAAACATATTAATAACTATTATTGGTACTTTGATCTCTATGTAGTTTTATACTCAAAGAAAACTATACAAATGGAATTTTCACTTCAACAGAATAGTGTTTTGTTTTGTTTTTCTCCTGAAGATATAGGGCCTAAACCAAAGTAGTTGGAGCTTCCATTTTCTTCTCTAGTTTTCTTGTATAGTAGTGACAAAATGGGAAAGCATAGTAAGTTTAATATGAACTGCCTTCAAGACAATTTCTTTACATGGTTTTGTCAACCAATACTTTTTAAAAATATATATATTTTATTGATTTTTAAAAATATATTTTATTGATTTTTTTACAGAGAGAAAGGGAGAGGGATAGAGAGTTAGAAACATCGATGAGAGAGAAACATTGATCAGCTGCCTCCTGCACACTCCCTACTGGGGATGTGCCTGCAACCAAGGTACATGCCCTTGACCGGAATCGAACCTGGGACCCTTCAGTCCACAGGCTGACCCTCTATCCACTGAGCCAAACCGGTTAGGGCTCAACCAATACTTTTTATATTTGAGGTAGCATGAAAACTGCAGTGATATATTTTATGAAAATGTGCTAATAATGATATATTAATAATTTCCTTTAATGTAGGCTTCTACATTTTTGTCTTTTTTGCTGTAATAAAAAGTGTAAGCTGGTTAAGTTGTAATTCTCTCTCATTCTTTGCTATTACAGATGGATTGTTCAATCAGTACATCAGTCAACAGGAATATAAGCCACGATGGAGTCAGATCATTCCAAAAAGCACCAAAGGTTAGCCCTATCTTCTAGGTGTGGGTGCTTTTGCTGTAATGTCTTGATTTCATTTTTTCCCTAGGTAGCTCAAGTTTCAAAGTGCTCTGTTAATGAAAAGCAGGGTTTAAAAGAAGACGGTGGGGGCTTGTCCTGGGGGGTGGGAGTGGCCAGGGAGGGGTTGGTGGGGGGGGGGCAGGAAATATATGTAATACTTTAAACAATAAAAAAAGAAATTAATTTAAAAAATAATAATAAAAGAAGATGTAGGTTCCTTAAGTAGGTGGCAGACTTAGTTTATTATATTAAATTTTTCTTTTAAATCTTTTTGTTTTACTGCTATAACAGAAGATTGGGCAGTTTTTACATAGAATACCATCATAAATTACTTTTATAGAGACACTAAAATTATAGACCATTGTGTTGTAATGCCAAACATGTTTCTGAAAAACCTTAACTTCTGTAAAATTGCTCACTAAAGCTAATAGGGCTTATGAGAAAAATGGAAATGGGTCATACCATTCTAGATCTATGGAACTTTATAACCAGATACTAATAAAAATGAGAGTAGTAATCCTAATAAAAATAAATAATATTAGTATAGTTAAATCTTTGCGGGCACTTATATTGAGCATCAAAATGAGTTTGGAGCCTTAAATCCTGGGGCTCATGCTTTCTCCTTATAACTGTAGAACCTAGAGAGCATTTGTTTCTAATAAAGACTGTTTTAATCAAAACTTGAAATCTGATTCAGGGTGTAGTCTTCTCCATTAACCTATTTTTTCAGGTGGAGGAAGTTATTGTCACCCCATCTGCACTCATTACTCTTCCAGATGGTTAATATAGTAGAAAGTGTAGCAAGTCTCTAATGCAACTACTTGCATTAAAGGAAGGCAGTTGTGTCTGGTTGATGTTGCTCAATGGTTGAGTGCCAACTATGAACCAGGAGGTCATGATTTGATTCCTGGACAAGGCACATGCCTGGGTTGGAGGCTCGAACCCCAGTAGGGGGTGTGCAGGAGGCAGCCAATCAGTGATTCTCTGTCATCTTTGATGTTTCTATCTCTCCTCCCTTCTCTGAAATCAATAAAAATATATTTTTTTAAAAAGAAGGAAGGCAGTTCCATAGATATTCAGCTTTTCCCTATGATCATCATTTATTGATTGCTAAGGTCTTCTCTTTAACTATGAGAAAACTTTCTTCTGATAGTGTTAAACATTAATATACTGGAGAAAATTGCTATGAGCACCCATAATTTCTGCATTACAGTTGCTCCTATTTTTATCAGTTGTATATGAGGTAATTTTATTCAAAGAAGCAGATGTTACAGCAAACATAATTGCATATTTGAAAACTAATGTATTAAATATATAAAGTACAAACATACAATACATTTATTTCAATGTTTTCTTAATCTGTTCTTTCAAGTGGCATTACTGACTGGGTGAAAAAAGAAAAGGACAAAACTTCAATGATAATGAGCTGCAAAATCTAAACCTAACTATTAGAAAGGAGAAAGAATTTGCAGAGAACTTTTGAATGATTAGCTCTTGAGTATCATAGTAAGGAAAAACTTCAGTTTTGCATTTTATTTTTTATATAAGAACTGACATTTTATTTATTTTTATTCTTTTGTCAGTGTAAGTTAGAATTCATTTTGTCTTTCCATACACTGAAATTAAAGGTTAAACAAGGTAGAATTTTAATTCTGTCTCATGTAAAAAATATACCCAAAAGATGGTAAATTAGGACAATACAACTACTTCCACATTTCCCCTTTGTCTTCACTAAGGTGAAATATTTATTCTCACAGCTGTACTATTGTATCTACATTACAAGTAGCAGAATGGAGAGAAGCACCCCTTTCTTTAGAATTCTCCAGTAATTAATTTCCACTAATATCACATTGCATTGGCCACTTAGATATATGTTCAGATATAACTATAAGAAAAACAGAGAAATGCATTTTTTAAAATTTACTTAATTCTTCTTTAATTGTTTTTATTATTTTTTAATTTTTTATTGTTTGAAGTATTACATATATGTCTCCTTCTTTGGCAACATTCTTTTTTTTTAAATTTTTTTTATTGATTAAGGTATTACATATGTGTCCTTATCCCTTTTTTGCCCCCCATCCTCCCTCTCATGCCCTTACCCCCACCCTCCCCTACCTTCCCTCTGAGGTTTGACAGTCTTATCAATGCTTCTCTGACTCTGGATCTGTTTTTGTTCTTCATTATATTCCACAAATGAGTGAGATCATGTGATATTTATCTTTCTCTGACTGGCTTATTTCGCTTAGCATAATGCTCTCCAGGTCCATCCATGCTGTTGCAAATGGTATTTTAGTCTTTTTCATAGTCTCCTTGTGAAATTAGTAAAAAATTGCATGTTTCCTATTTTAGATAGGCAGAAGCTCATACAAGGAAAGTTATTAGCCAAAGTTATAAAGTTATAAAGTTATAAAGAAAACTTTGTGTTCTCTGGTTTATATATCAAGTAAGATATTAGAATCCTGTAACCTATTGAACCATTGCAATGAAGTTATATCTTCATTTATATAAAATTTTGCATAAAGTAAGATTAGATATAAGTTTAGCACTGGTTTTCTCCTACAAAAGTTTAAAAGTTTCACTGATTATATTTAAACATACTTATTAAGCTTTGTAATGGAAATAACAATAAAAGAAAAGCAAATCTTAGTATTCTCAGTCAGTGCTCATATAAAATTGGTGGTCTTTTATGTAGGAACTATTTTCTGAAATACTGGCACAAAGTTAACACAATAAGAAAATTATCAAGAGTATAAAACTTGATAAAAATCTTAATTTTCAGTAGCTTTGTGAACTTTAAAACTGCTCATTCTGTTTATAAGCTGTGCCTGGATTATAGACCTGATATCTACTAGTAATTCTGTAATTGTCTCCCACTTTACTTTGTCACTTCAGAGTTTAGAGTTTTCTTGTCTGAGGTTTTTGTGGAATATCCTATATTATTGCTGACTTATGACATTGGCCATAAATACATTGGAAATAGCTTCCAATTGCAATAATAGCCTGAAAGCAATTGGAAAAAAAGAGCAAGATAATTATTATAAACATACCTATGTGTCATATTATTTCTTTTAAATCTTTTTTACTTACTATTAAAAGAATAAGTGTGTGTTATTTTCACTAGTCATTACATGCTTATGAATAAAGTTACTTTGGGTTTGTGGTTGTTCTTTGTTTTTCCTTTAAAAGGAAATATTATTTCTACTTCAGGTGATGGAGAAGATAACAGACCAGGAATGAGAGGAGGCCATCAGATGGTTATTGATGTTCAAACAGGTGAGGGATACTTGCAGTGGAAAGCAAATTTTAAAATAAATTTATGCATTTTTAAATATCAGGTAAACATGAGTTTACTTTCCATTCATTCCAAAGGTTAAATGTTAATGCCCATACCAAGGAGCAAAGAAAATAGGCATTAGCCACAGGTATAATCTAAACTAGGTAGTAACCCATGAGAGGACAGGCTGCTGAACAAATGAAATTAAATAACCTAAAAGAAATGTAATGTGTAGCCTTTTATAGCTGTGTGTGTGTTGGGGGGAGGGGGGGGGGCTTGTATTTGTATTTGATTTTCATAGTAAACTTTGATGTATTTCTGGATTTTCAGTGCATTTATAATTTAATGTCATACTCTGGGAATTATAGTAATGAAGGAGACACTTAAGATATATTTTAGAGGGAGAGACTATCAAATTAGTCTTGTTGGACTAATTAAGTATTGTTGGATCCATTAATTGCCAAACACTGTTCACAAGCCTATGAATCATTTACTTTATTCTTTTTTGCTTCCTCTTAAATTTTCTATAATTTGGTATGGAAATTTTTTCTTAGGTTACTATAGGCTAGGACAGCTTAAATACCATCATATTTAGAGGTTAATCCTAAAATTATAATAAGTTTCAAATTACCATATTGAAAAGCAAATAATACCAAAAATTTAGTTTAATTTGACTTTATTATCTGATTTTAGAACTCTTTACTACATAGAGTGCCAATATTCATTCACTCAGTGCTTTAGGAATAAATAAGTTATTTTTGTTGACATAAAATAATTAAGAGTAAAAATTATTTCAATGCAGATAATCTAGGCATTAATGTATATTCACAAATATTTTGTAAATAACAAGATGAGAAAATATATTTTATTTAAAATTAACTGCTAAATTCATATAGTAACCTGTGAACTTGTTTAGCAGTATTATTAGGTCCCTTTGGAAAAGGTTCATTTCAAGGCCTAGGGAGTTTTTTTTCCTGATCTTGGCCCCTCTTCTTCCTCCCACAGAAATAGGTTTGACGCAGTTGTAGAATCTTAGGCATCTAGGCATCTTTTTTTCTACCCGAGAGTCCAGTAAATATACATATGCTTATTTCTTAAAGAATCAGATTTATGTACAAATGTTTTTTAATCTAGAACAATTAAATACTTGATGAAAATTTGTGTTTAAATTGTCTCCAGTAGATTTTTTTCAAACTCTTTTGAAAATATAATGGAACTTATAATGCCTTTGTTATGTCTGGGTGGTAGTTACCTAGTGGTTTAAAATTTTCTACTTTAAAATGCAGTTGCAGAAATTTTATTCACCAGCATTCCTTTTAGAAAGGAATTATTATTTGTGAAGGTGCATGGGGTACAACCTAAAATGCCTAGGAGAAGTATTATAGAAGGAACTATTCTTTGCAATACAATGAGAACTTTTAAGACCAGAGAAAGGGGACAAGGGAAAACGTAGAGCTTAATGGTAGTGGAGCCGGCAAATGGCAGAATGCACACTTTGTAACATGAGTCTTCTGTCACCAAAATCTTAAAAGTTTTCTCTAATAAAATTGAGTTGGAGGAGTGTGTGCGTGTGGGGGGTGGGCGGGGGGGGGGGGGGTGGTTTCGGTGGATTGAGGAGGAGGAACTGGTGGTGCAATTAGGTTTTGGGGTCTAGCGTGAGGTGGGGCAGGAGTGCAGTTTCTGAGAATTCAGTTGTCTGGAAGCAGAGAGAAATGTAAGGAAAGATGCCCTAGGACAGGTCAGAGAAAGATTTTTGAACTTTCACAAGACTGCAATTATGGTTTAGGTTAAGTTTAAACAGGTGTCTGGTTCTGAGTCTGGGTAATCCAGGAATCTGTTATGATCAAGAAAAAACAAAAGTAAAAAATAATAATACTATTGAAAAATCCAGTAACTTTTATATCTTGGCATTCCCAGTCTTTTTCTTCAGCTAACCATTGCTGTCTATATTCTTTTCTGTCACCATTCTGTATCCTATTAGTATTTTAGTGTTTTCTTTTTTGTTAATCCTCACGTAAGGATATTTTCCATTGATTTTTAGGGAGAGTGAAAGGGAGGGGGAAAGACACACAGAACACATCAGTTGGTTGTCTCCCGCACCAGGGCCAGGGATTGAGCCTGCAACCGAGGTATATGTTCTTGCCTCCAACCAGGCACCCTTCAGTCCATAGGCTGACGCTCTATCCACTGAGCCAAACCGGCCAGGGCTTAATCAGGTTGATCTTAATCATCTTCAAAATGATTGTATTTTTTGTAAATATTTAAAAGAACCTTTTCTATTCCAGTCTTACTTGTTTAACAACCAAATATAGTGTTTGGGGATTGAGTTTGTAGGAAAGGCGTGTGTGTGTGTGTGTGTGTGTGTGTGTGTGTGTGTGTGTGTGTGTATGTGTGTGTGTGTGTTAGACATCTGGGTTTGAATCCTCCTGACTTTACCACTGACTTTTTGTTTGATCTTGAATGAGTTATAATAATTTTGATAAAAATAGGTATAATAAATTAAGCTATACTGAGAATTATAAGAAATAATGTACTTTATATGTAAAGTATGTGTTATTTATGTAATTTGTATGCAGCATATTAATATGCAGAATATACTAATTAGTCCTGTGGTTTTTGACAGAATCTCACAGTGGAAATACTTTTAAATAACTAAAAATTTTGAAAAACAATTTAAAATAACTTGAAAAGCAGTTTTTTTGGGGGGGGAGGTGAGAATAACTCACCCAGTATTATTTTGGCATATTTGTCTCATCTTTTATATATGTTGTCTAATTTTAGAAAGTAAGGGAAGCCATAATACTTTTAAGATTTTTAGAAAAAAAATATTAAACCCCATTTAGTAATTTTGTTGATAATGTGTAGGTAGGGTTAGTAATGAAGAATGATTTTCCCAAGTAGAGTTTGAAGAACCTGGAAGTTTCATCTTTATGAAGTTGGTACCTAAGGAGTAAAATAGAGTGTAGAGAAGCCCAGTTGTTATTTTTTGTATGCATTCCAAAGGTTTCCAGAATGAAGGCTCTTAATCTGTTGAAGTTATATACAAATTTTGTTTGTATGTATATTTTTCTGGGAAGAGAATCCATGAATTCTGATCATCAAAGGGACTTTTGACTCAAAAAATTAAGAACACCTTCACTAGAGTAAAACTTCGTAAAGTTCATTACATCTTTTTAAAGTGGCTTCACAGCATTTCATATATCTTGTTTTCTTAAGTATTAAATACTTAATAATACCTAAATTTTATTTCTTTTTTAGTATATAGTTTTTTTTCCCATTTTGCTGCAGCTCTAGGACTAGAGTTACCATTTTAAAAAGTACATGATGATGAAGAAAAAAAATAAAAAGGTACATAATGACATAAATGTTACTATTTAATTTTCAAACCTTCCTTTCTTCCTAAGTGAATTCTATCATTTATACCATGGTAGAGAAGGAATCTAGTATTTTGTACTACTGGATGTATATGTCAGTTTCATTTATTATAATCTCTGTACCTATACCTCTCCACTTATTAGATGCTTCAACTCTGAATTGGGTTTCAACTCTGAGGAAATTAGGTGAATAAAAAGAGAGAAAAGGCATGTCTATTTTGTTTCAGGGTTCAAGTCTGTTCAGATGAAAATTTAAATGTTCATTCTACCAGGAAGTTTCTTTGTTATGTAACTTGCATTAAATTTTGAGAACCTATAATGCTTGCCTTTTTCCCCTCTCTCAATCAGAATAGATAGTAAGACCCAGGCAAAACTCCAGTATTTGATATCTATAAAAGAAGTTTGAGGGGATGATTCTTGTCACTTGGAAGAGCCCTTCTATGGAAAGCTGCACCTTTGACTATTCTATATTAATTCTATACAAGTGCCTTTTTTTTTTACACACAGGGCCACATAATTGGTTTTCCTAATGTTCCTTAAAGAAACCTTTGAAGGAAGTAGGTGAACATGGGTTTTTGTTGTGAATTACAAATATATTCATAAGGCTATAGATCTGTAGCTACATATATACTGTTATCACAAAGGAGTTCTGAAATATAGCCTAATTAAGAATACAATGTTTGCTGTCATAGGCAGAAAATACAACCTTTTAGCTGGGAAAATAACTGTGTTGAATTCGCTAAAAAGATCAGTGTCATCTAGATAGTTTTTAAATCATAACTTTGTTTTAAAAGGGGAGGTGGATGAATCCAGTTGATAATCTGCTGGGTCCTGTGAGTTCAAGGAAATGGCTGAAGCTTATAAAACATCTTTCCCCTTCTTTTTTATTGCTCTCTTCAAATTTTCTCATGTCCATCCTAATTGCATTTTTAAAAAGGATTAAACTTTTAAACTAAATATTCTGACAGTGTTTCATTTTTATCTTAAATATAATTTGCATTTCTTAAAACTGCATTTTCCACTTTATTTTTTCCCCCTCTCAGTGTCTATATTAAACTAAGAATTAAGATAACCTTCACTAGCCTGTTAACACTTCTCCCACTTTTGTTTGACACAAGAATTTTATCTAATATTGGGCTCATGCTGTGTTAGTGCCATAGTGTATGTATTCTGTACTGTTTCAAACAGGAAAAATGAATTTAACTACAAAAATAGTGTGCCATCTTGTGGAGGATAATGCAATCAGCACAGTCTGTTTTACCATTAAAAATCAGAGTAAGATAGATAATTACATTCGGGCTCTTAAAATAAAAAGCCTGCTTCTTTGTGAAAATGGTGTGAAGACACTGATGTGTTAACATCTCTACTATATTTTTAGTGTACATAAGATAACGTAGACTAGTACTCCTGGCACTAGGTAGCTGTAGGGTTTATTCAGTACTGCTACCTAAAAGACCTGTACCAAAGAATATGGTTGAATTTTAGTTTTATGGTCTAAGTAATGAGAGATTTATTGATTGGTTGATGATTGAATCATTTATAGTCTCTTAGAATGAAATTGGTTTAAAATTTTGAACATATGCTGTTATTGGTCAGTTTAAATCCAATTCCTTTCTTTCATTGGC